AACCCTAAACCCTAAAAGTTTAGGGTCTGGTGTTTCAGATGTCAGGCGTGTTTGGAAGCTTTGAGCTTTGCAGAGGGTTTTGGGGTGAGAGCTGCATAAGCATGAACATCGAACTCGAAATCGTCATGCTCTGATGATGATCATCATCATCATCACCATCGGCGCATCAGCGCTCGACGGAAGGAAGGCCCCTGGTAGCTACTATAGGGGCCTTTATAACTAGGCTAGGGTTTTGGGGGGTATATCATGCTAGACTTATAGTAAGGATCCCCAAAGTAGTACTGGTACCTCTGTAGGCCCCTCTGCTTCCTGAGATTCCTGCCCTCAATCTCGTCTCTGCCTTGAACTAGCCAGTAGAGCCGACCCTATTTTAGCCTTGGCGCTGGACCCTCATACCTGTCATCCCTATTAGACCCTATACCCCTATAACCCTATAACCCTAATCCCTGTAATCCCTAGACCCTACTAAAGCCTAGGTGCGTCTTAAGTCTCCAGACCCCTACACCCTATACCCCAAGACCTGAAACCTCTTCAAAGGCCCCCACCCATAACACCCGAGACACCTGCATTCTATAGCCTTGTGCCCACAGGCACTAGACTCACCAAAATGAACAATCCAGAATCCTAAATCCTGAACATATAATCCTCAAATGTTGGGGCCTTAGCAAAGAAAACTAGGTTTCGGTGAATATCTTACTATAGATCTATGGGACCGATCAGGAGAGACTGTGGACAGTTCCTCCGCGCCCCTCTCTTAAACGAAGCCGAACCCGAAACCCTAAAGCGCCGGCAAGAGACTGCCTTTAGCCTCCCCTCTTGAGCGGCCAAGAAGAGAGCCGTGCAGCCCTCTTTCGTCCCTGGGCGTAGGAGTTGGGCGGGCTTTTCATAGGGCTTCATCGAAACGTCTTATGAAGATGTGCACGGGGCGTTCTAGCGGCTTTTGCCAGTTCTAGCAGTATTTATAAGGGCTCTATCACATGTGCATCTGAGTTTTAGAATAGAAGGTTTGCGTATACAGTTTCTTACACTGGACAAGCGGAGACTGAATGTCTAGTTCTGACACCTCAGGCCCCATAAACTCTTGGACATGGACCCATAAGGTTTCAGCATTCAGCGTTTAGGCCAGGTGTTCTTAGACCTTAACCCCTAGACCAGTCGATTTAGATATTCGGCTTGACTCTGCAAGGTTTCGACTTCATGGCTGGCGAACTAGGACTCATGGGTTAGGTTCTCTTTGGAGGCGTTCATGGTCTAGGCTTTGGGGATGCATGATGCATCCCAAGGTCAAGCGCCATGCTTCGGCGTCCCTGACCCGCTTAGCCACGTGCGATCCGAAGCTCTGAATCCCCCTTAAACCCTAAACCCCTAAACCCTAAACCTCTAAACCCTAAACCCTGAAACCCTAAACCCTAACACCCTAAAACCCTAAACCCCAAACCCTCAACCCCCAACTCAAGAGTTGAAGATTTCTCGTAGAAACCCGGCTGTAAGCGCTCAACTTTTCGTCCGAGAGGCGTTTCTCCACGTCGGCCCGGATCTCCAGAAGCCTTCCCACCCCGTCAAGCAGGCCAAACCTGAGTCAGGTCAGAAAAATCAGGGTTAGGGTTTAGGGCTAGGGTTTAGGGGTTTAGGGTTTAGGGGCAAGCCGAAAAACGCCTGCTTCAGGCTTTGAGGCTGAAGTGTTAAGGGAGGAACTTGGGTATAAGGTTGTGGTGATGGCCCATGTTTCTGTGACAGGACGTGAGAAGTAGGTATGTTATGAAATTGCAAGCTTCATGAAGCTCCAGAAAAGTCTTACAAGTGTTTGGGCTATGAGGTTCTCTCCGATCCTTGCAACAGCCTCTACCCTATTCTTAACGTGAGGTTTCAGACCCTAAGCCCCCCTCAAGCTCCACCAGGTCAATACCGCACTGAATCGCATTAAAATTAACAAAGCCCCTGCTTTCATACACAACACGCATTCCTGGAAAAACCTGAACCCTCCTTTGCCGCGGGGCTCTGCTGCGTGGTGGAGGGGGGTGTAGAGCTCTTGCTCGGCCTTGGCAAACATGAGACATGCGACAAGCTTTGGCTTTGTAAGGTTTCCCACCAGGGATACGATTGCAAGGGTTTCCGAGGTTACCGTAAGGATATACTTATAGGGTTTTCGGGTCTAAGAGTTGAAGCTTTTAGGGCTGCGGGTCCGGGCAGGGTTTCAGGCTCCTCGCAATCGAACTTTGTGGAGCAGGCGCAGAAGTGCAGGCGAAGGGCATAGTTGAAATCCGCGCGCTTGTCCAGGAGCAGTTCCATAGCCTCTCCGGCAATCACCGTGAAGCCCTACAGCCCTAAACACCAAACCCAAAACCCAAACCCTAAACTCCAAGTACGATGTTCTCGGAAGGTTCAGGTTTGAGGGATTTCTGGTTGGAGACCAGAGGTTTTAGGTGTTGCGATGTTTCACACTCATTGGGATGGCACTTAGATAATCTGATATTGTAGAATATGATGCGGTATGATATCATAAATTTAAATTACTACAAAAAGAGATAATATAGTATGATCCTCTAATATGGCTTGATACAGCATAGCATATTTCCGTAGCACCATAGTGATCGGGTTGCGACGAAACCCTATCCATTGTTGCGATGACGGCTCGTGTTCTAGCCTCAGCAACAGGATCGTGCTGATGCTGCGCTGCTGCACATGTTTCTCCGAGCTGCAAGCCCGGTTTAGGGTTTTTTCTTTTTAAAGTGTATTGGCGCCCCTTTTCGGTTTAGGGTTTAGGGTTTAGGGCCCAGTAACTCCTAGTAGGCCTCAGTAGAAGTGGAGTTATCTGCAGCTGGTCTGTCTCTGAGTTCTCTTTATCGGACACGGGCTCGACTGTGGCTGGGTACCTAAGCTCTAAGCGCAGCCAGCGGCTGGTAGATGGTCAAGGCTGGAAATAGGGACACAAGTCCTAATCAAATTATCGAGACGAGACTTCCCGACAAAAGCAGGCAGCTAATACAAGCTCTTGCATCCAAAAACAGCTTGTTCGTAGTCCTAGCAGTAGTAACACTGTTGTCACAGTCTAACAACCCCCTGGTTTCCATGTATCCGTATAGGCTTTGGCCCGAAAAATCACTATATAGAAGCCGTGAAATCCTAAGCGCATACGAAGGGTAAATTGAGGTGATGCATTTCAACAAAACAACCCAAAACAAAGCTACCATGCCTGGCAATAATAACCCTTCGGTGCTACGTTGCAATAAAACAACACAGCACAAATCCTGCTGATGCTCTAAGCCCTGATTGGGTTGCTGGCCACAGCTTGGTTGTAGAGCGCCGAGAAAGCCGCACAGGTGGAGCCGCACGTGCAAGTGATCTTGGGTGCCCAGTGCTGGGGTTTACGAGGCTTAAATTTTTGCTATAGGATTCAATTGTTAGAGGGTTTAGTTTCGAGGCTTGGGGTTTTACTTTGGTGTGCAGGGGCAACGTTATCTCTGAATTGTGGGTTCCTTCTGAAGGCGAGCGATCTTGGGTGCCCAGGGATGGGGGCTTGGGGGTTTAGGATGTAGTTGAGGGTTCAGGGCTCAGGGGCTCCAGAGCCTGCTGATTTCGGATTCCGTGTTAAGGAAAGCCCTATTACGACGTCTGGGGAGGGATAGTCTTCCACAAGGGGAGCGGGGTTTCTGTCTCCAAGGAATCCAGAAAGTAGCACCTGCATAGAACCAACTCAGAGGCTGAGTACTTTAGAGGTTTTCCATTATGGTACCTGTAACTATATACATCTATAAACACACATGCATGCATGCATACATATAT